GGAGGAGGGTGGCCGGAGCCCTGGGAGGAGGGCGGCGAGCCCCGGCCGGGGCTCGGCTCTCCCCCCGGCGACAGGGCGGCGAGCCCTGGCTGGGGCTCCGCTCTCCCCCCGGCGGCCAGAGCGCAGGGGGCAGGGCGGCGAGAGGGCGGCGAGCCCCAGCTGGGGCTCGCCGCTCTCCCGCCGGCGGCCAGGGGGAGGGCGCCGGGGGGGAGGGCAGCCAGAGCGCCGGGGGGAGGGCGGCAAGCCCGGCCGTGGCCCCGCTCTCCCCGGCGGCCGGAGCGCCGCGCCGCCCCCCTCCAGGTGCCACCCCAAGCACAAGCTTGGGGGGCTGGTGCCTGGAGCCGGCCCTGCCCGCAGCTTCTTGCTAAAACAGTGTAGGCACCTAGCCCCAAAGAGGGTTTGCAGCAGAGAATCCCATGCAGAGAGAGGCACCTAAATCCAGGCTGCAGGGAGGTGCCTATCTCTGAGAGAGGAGCGGGGTTTAGCATCCCCCCCCCACACCTCAAATTGGCATCTCCCATTGGCTAGCTTAGGTGAGGATCCACTTCCCATGCTGGCTATTATGAATCCCATTCTCAGGCACCTCTCTCCAGTGGCGCTGGAACATTTTTAATAGTGGGGGTGCTGAAAGTCACCCCCTTACCCATCCACCCCTCCCCACCCAGCTGAGGCCAGGAGCAAAGCCCTGGGCGCAGGGTGGCAGCAGAGCCCCAGGCGCACAAGGCAGCAGCTGTGATCCCAGGCGCAGAGCTGGCAGCCGGGAGCCCGAGGGTGCTGCAACACCCTCCCAGCCCTAGTTCCCGCGCCTATGCCTGTCTCTCCCCATTGTACAGGGAGCCTAGGCATCTAACTCAGGCTTTGTGAATGCCAGTGATTTTCTTGGTGTCTAAGTTTCTTTGTGAATCTAGCCCAGAGAGATTAAGTGATTTGCCCAAGGTTACAGAGAAAATCTGTGGCACATCTAGGAATTAAACCCAGATTTCCTGAGTTCCAGTCCCATGCCAGTCGCAAGATCAGCTTTCACCTTGAACTCCTTTCTAAACATCCTTTTGTTTTATTTAAATTTTTGATGACCTTAGTGCTTATATAAGTGTATAATTTGTAAGTTTAGCACTGAGCCTAGCATAGCCTGGGGCAGGAACTGAAGCAGCACTCTAGAACAACTTTGCAAATGCGCCTCGGTTAAAACCTGCAATACAAAGAATGTGAAATTCTGGCTCCAATGAATTCCAAGACAAACCCCGCCATGACTTCAATTGGCCAGTTTTCATCCCTAGAATCCAAGTCTTCTTCTTGAGAAGAGGCTGCACTACTACTGCGGTTCTATGGTGTCGATAAGTGGTGGCTACTGCGATACTCTGGACAAAATCACGTCAACCTACAAGAGGGCTGGGAAATTATTTCAAAGCAACTGAGAAGACAGTTTGTTTACCCAGCTCTCCCACAGAGCAGGCAGGGATGTCAGTTTCCTAACCTACAGATGGTGCAAGTGCTTTGGGGATCTCCATGTGGATGCTCCAGTGCTTACTCCTCAGTCCCCATGGCAACATGGGTCCCATTGAAGCTTTGCTCCTATTGGTTCCCTTCCTGCATTTGGGCCAAAACCCAGGTTTCTCAACTCCATCTGCCCAAACACTCCGAATGTCTGTCTTTGAAAAACATTTAAAAACAAAAGTGGAGTTCATGACAATGTAGGACAGATGGGGTGTGCAGAATATTTGCCATTGCTGAAGTTTTAAGTTCCTCAGACATGTTATCTGAATCCCTATTACTTTTCATTTGCCATAGCTCTCTGTAGGAGAATGAAGAATAGAAATGAAAAGGGAATCTGCCTTCTAAGTAGAGACAGCCCTTAAAACATGAAATTAGACTGAATTTTAAACAGGAAATAACCTCCAGGTGTCAAAAAAATGAGCTGACAAAAATATGAAGGAAAACAATTTTCAGCTGTTCCCTTAGTAATGTTGTATGGTATCTAGGGGCTGGTCTACACCCAGCCGCTAGTTCGGCGGCTGGGGATCGAAGTTCTGGGTTCGACTTATCGCGTCTGGTCTGGACGCGATAAGTCGAACCAGGAAGTGCTCGCCGTCGACTGCGGTACTCCAGCTCGGCGAGAGGAGTACCGCGGAGTCGACGGGGAGCCTGCCTGCCGCGTGTGGACCGCGTCTGAACCGCGGTAAGTTCGAAGTAAGGTATGTCGACTTCAGCTACGTTATTCACGTAGCTGAAGTTGCGTACCTTACTTCGACTTGGGGGGTTAGTGTAGACCAGGCCTAGAATGCAGCCATTTTTCTAGGCTGTAAGAAGAGGGGACAGCGCAAATAGGTGGAGCACAGAAATATATGCCAGGAGATGGAAGTGGGAGTTGAAGGTGCCAGGTGTGAATCTCTCTGGTATGTTTTCATAGACTCCAGCAAGCACCACAGCATATGCATCATTTACCTCTTATTAAATTATTGCTACAGAGCTGGAGAAAATCTTTAAACAAAACTAACAGAAAAAATATCTGAGATGTTTCAAAGTTCTAAAGTTGTCTGGGCTCAGCCTCTAGTTTTGTATTTGCTGTATTAATAAAAATGATTAATTCCTTTTGCTTCCTTTGGAGTTTTGTCTTGGCCACACTGGGGGAATACAAGACCAACTTCCCTGTAACCAGAGTTCAGTGTCTGAAGTTCCACTTCCCTGGGACATGGAACCAAGAGCTCCCGGGGGAACAGATTCCTGAGCCCATCCCCATTAGCAGTTTAAATCAGGCTCAGGAGCGTAACATAGTTTAAAGCACATGAAAACTGTCCAACTAAGCTACAATAATTTTATAAAACTGTGTTGGAGTCTTGCCGGAGTAGTTCTTGAGCACAGTTTTGTCTTAACACTCTTCAATGCTTGTGCTCCGAATAAGGAGCCTCTAAGTAGGTTTTGAAGACTGCTTTGCTAACACGTTTAAACTATGATAGCAAAAGCCATTTAGGTTTTTGTCAGTGTGGACAGGGCTTTACTTTCAAAGCACACCATTCATGCTATCTGGGCTATGCACCAAACATACTGCATCTAACCATTAGCCATCCCTTTCAACTTAACACCTAGAAAACAGTATCTTTCCACATGTTTTGATAGTCAAAACAATTGTT